AAAATGAAGAAAATAGTAGAGAACATTATGAAAGAAGCAATACAGTAAAAATTACCAGAAATGAAGGACTAGAAGTTCATGTCTGAGTTAGAAGCAAGTACCTAGCAGTCGTTAAAAAAGAGTTGTGCTAAAACATGTCACCTGAAGATTTCAGGGCACTGAAACTTTAGAGGAGATGAAAAGAAAAAAAAAAAAAATCACAGAGGATGGAGAATCAGAACAGCCTGCTTAACAGCAAGACCTAGGAGACAATAGAATACTACCTTAGAATACTGAGAAAAATGGTTTCCAGTTCAGAATTCCCCTCACAGCTCAGTTCTCAATCATAGGGTATAGTGGAAAAGAGAAATTTTTGGAGATGCAAAGGCTAAGAAAAATATCCATCTAACATACTTATTTTAGGGAGAAGATAGTCTTCCAAAACCAGGGAGTAAAAGAGAAAGAGTCGGATAAAGGATCCAGGGTTTAGAGAATGGGATAGTTGAGGGCCTAAGCGAATCTCATTCTGATCATTGTGTATCATGCTACAAAGTAACCGTTCTGACTGGAGCAAGACATTGAAACATGTCTTTAACTAAAATACCTCCTGCATTTAATTGCTTTTTCTTTTCCCAGTCCTATCAGAGAGCCTAGGAATGATTTAGTCATAGGAATAGAGGAAACTTGAAAAGATGACGCCACTCTTCACTCTGCAAGTAAACGTGATTGTGCAAGATAGGAAAGCGAGCATAGTATATTACATGGCTCAGCTTTGAACAAAGGTTATGTTACATAATACTGTGGATTCCAAGTTTTAGAAGATGAGAGAAAGTCCCATGGGAAGGTGTTGGTAAGCATCTTCATTTTCCACAGATGATAATAGAAAACTGAAATAATAAATTGTAGTGTGGCATTTAGAAATACAACATGGTGGTAAATACCAAATTAAATAAGTAGATTTCCAGCATGGTTGCTCCCGATGAGTGTACTGGGGCTAGGTGGTGCCCATTTCTTATTTCATTTTAATCTGGGTCTTGCATTAATATATGGAAATTAGGTGAATAAATGAAGTTTTAAAGGATTTAATTTATACATATTTTTCATATAGGTGTATCTAGGTGCATCTGCTTTTGACTATCTGGGTTGAAAAATTGTTAGAGTATGGTTTTTAAAGCAACAGAACAACTACGAACATCAAAAAATTTGCCACTTGTATCTGGGTTGTTTATGCTAAGACTTTGCCTGGCATGGTGATGTTAATTCGCCATGCAAACAGCTTACCCTTTTTCAGATGAAAGATGGGTCTTCTGCCTTTCCTGCAAATAAGTGCTTTTTTTTCCTTTTTAATTTCTGTGGCCCTGGCCTTGAACTCTGTCCTATAACTGCCTCCTAGGCCATATTTCCAGGAAGGAGCAACAATGCCAGAGATAAAGAGTCCTAGAACTACAGCTTCAGACTCTCAGGATGTCTGGGCCCGCTGCTTGTGGCAGTGAAGTCTGTGCCTTTGCACGTGAGTGCCTTAGGTGAAGAGGTGGGCATGTTGGAATAGAGGAGCAGAGCAGTCTCACTCCCAAGCTTTGCGCTCATCCCAATTTTTATTTTTTATGTTCTTGCCATACTGGGGATTGGACTTGCTAGGCAGATACTCCACCACCAGGCTGTACCCAGACTCAACCCAATATTTAAAAATTTCCCAAACCATAAAGTCTAGACCAGACAGGGGTCAACATATTACAGCCCACACGGCAGCTGCTTGTTTTTGTAAATACAGCTTTATTGGTACACAGCCTCTCCGGTTTGTTTACATATTGTTCCTGCTGCAGTTGGAGAGTTGAATAATTGGAACAAAGGTCTTATTCCCTGCAAAGTCTGAAATATAAATATATATGTATATATATATATGTATGTCTTGATGTATGTGTAAAATAAGTATATTAACAAATCCCTTCGTACAAGTCTCAGTCCCTACTAGACATTTCTGATGCTGAGTAGGCACAGGTGGGTAGTAGCAGCGGTGTTGGACAGCATGGATTTATTTTTATTTCATTTATTTTATTTTATGTTTATTTTTTTGTAGTGCCTGGAATCCAATCCAGGGAAGTGCAGTGCCACTGAACCACAGCCCCGGCCCTCCCCAAAGAGCAGATTTAATCGGTTGCATTCTTGTGTACTCTCCCCTCCTTGCACTTGTCGGTAAACATCCACTGGAGTTACTTAGAGTGAAAGTAGCTGCAGGAGTCAGTTGGACGAACAAGGCCAAGGCAACTGTAAGTGAGAAATAGATATGAGCACATGAGGTATTAGTCATGGACACTTACCTGCTAAAACACAAAACTTTAGTTAAAAGAAGTTGTTACTAAAAATGTCAAATAATATATATGGTTCTACCTCAGGGAAGTGGATAGGTCCAGCCCTGGCTTTCAAGGTATTTAAAAAGGATTTAATGTTGCCAGCCCTCATTCTAAATAACAATTGTATCTTAAGATTTAAGATTTTCAACTTGAGTTTCAGCAGTGTAATACTATGAAATCTTCCTACCTCATTGTCTGTCTCTATAGATCATGTCCTCTGCTTCCTGCATCTGTTTTCTTGGATTAGTTAGGTATTACACCAAAGGCCAGAGTTCTTTTGGTACAAAGGTTGTTTTGCTGCACACCCCACCCCCAGCCCACTTTATTGTGGGTGGGAAAATTTTTGTTGTGAGGGCTTGATTAATTAGAAGGGATTCCTGGCTTCCCTAGCAATGGCAGCCTGGGAAGATTACAGAGCCTGGCTTAGTGACAGAGAGGCCAATCTGTATTAAAGGAAAAACTTGGGCCAGCCAGATTTCTCTGGAATGTGGATCTGGCTTTGTCTTCCACAGGGAATATGCAGTGACCCTCTGCTCCTCCTTCCCACCCATTCCAGAAGGCTGAAAACTTTTACTTTTGCTGTTGATAGTTGTCCAGTTTTTATTTGGGGGCTGGGGAGTGGGGGTAGGAAGCCCAAGTCATTTTCTGAATCTAACGTAAGAGATCTAAACTTTTACTAATGAGTAGAAGCAAAGCAGAAGTTTTACTTCATATATTTTTTAAATTCCTTAACATGGTTTACTATCTGTGTTTTTCTTTCCACTCCATTGTAGCAATTATAGTGTTATGTTCAGCTCTGAATTTCAGTGAACAGTCTTTGCATTCCTTCGAACACCACAAAAAGAGAAATTTGCCCAAGAATTGACAGTAATTTCCTCCTTATAGTAAAAGTAAATGTGAAGAATTGTGCTTTAAATTTCCAGAGAAAGAGACAGTCGAATAGCAAGTGGTCAGTCTGGAGGCTTTTGTCTTGCTGGTTCGCCTTGATGAATCACTTAAGTCCTGTGTCCTAGGTTTTTAGTCTACCTAAAGGGGAATGTGGCACTGACTGTGTCACCAGGGCTCGCTTGAAAATTGGTGCATTGATTTTGTGTGTTGCATTGAAAAAGAGATGAAGGCAAGAATTTTCATGTTGGTTGAGTTATAGGTACTGATTTTCTACAAAAATTTAAGAAAAACAAAGCTTTTAGACGCCTTTATAGAGTAAATAAAGAATATTTAAGATGGTTATAGTCTTTAGAGGAAATGAATTTAAATGAGAGTGGGACCTGTATCCCTGAAAAGGTTTTTACAGAGAGGGTTGTCTTTGTGAAATTTTTCAAAGCTAAAGGACCTCTGTGCTGCTTTTCTTCTACTTCCAGTTCCTCCTTAAGTCTATTTATTTCTTCTTAGAGCTTTATGTTGTAAAGACATATAAAATCAGTGAGTATTGTAGTGGCTGACAGCACTCTCAAACTAAGGGAGCCTACTATTTTCCCCAGTATATATTTTCTGTTCTATTGCATTTCCCAAGCCAGAAAATTTCAACTAAGTGCACACTGAGTAGTGGATGGAATCGAAATAAAATTCCTAAAGCTTCACCAATAGTCACTCAATTAGTTCTGCCTCACTTTTTGGATGCCTAAGGGATATTTAAATAGAACCCTGGCTTCTCATCTTCTTTTCATTCTCAGCTTTCCACCTGCTTCCAAAAAGTTTCTGCCTAAATTGATTCTTAAAACATCAAAGGATTAAATTTATCATAGTTTTCTTTTTAACTGGCTTTTACTTTGAAAGTTCCTGGTATGACCAATAGTGGCTTCTTGTCCTTCATCAGTAGTTGCCTATTTAATGGATCTTTCCTCTGCAAAGTATCTTGGATTTACTTTCTTACCAATTCAGACCTTTAATATCCTTGTCTCTTTTTTTTTCTTCTATGCTAATCTCTGGACAATCTTTCTGTCTTTCATGTTCTGCCATTCCAGTTCATCTAGGCAAGTGCCCGGGGAGTGTTTTTGTAACATTTCATCCTGTTACTTCCTTAAGTGATCAGAGTAATTCCTTTTCTTTAATCAGATCTAATCTAAACTCTCCAGCTCGACTTAAGACACTCTGATAATTACTCTTCTCTTCCTCTTTAACTTGGACGCATTTTTTTAATAGTGGAATTTGGGCACATGGCCCACCTATTCTGTGGAACTGATACTTTTCATTTCCTGGAGTCCTCAGACCTGTACTTTTCTCTCTTCTTGTTATCACTTACTTTTTCTTGCTTGATTCATGCACATCATCTTTTTCCAAGCTTGACTGTTAATGATTCATTTTTTTACATAAATTTTTCTTACATTTATAACATTTTTACTCTGTGTTCCATTGACTAATATGTGCAACTTATGTTGTCCTGTTTTATGAATAGTCTTCCGTTGTTCATTTATGAACACTCTGCCCAAGTACATTCTCACAGACCTGTGCTCTGTTGCTTTTGTATGTGCATGGGTCTTGGATATTCTAGAGCATGCGTGAGGTGCCCACAATCCTTCCTTCCTTGTTCCAAAGATAGGACGTTTCTTTCCTCTTGGTGGAGAACAGGGAAGTGAGTGGAATTTGAAGTTAAGAATTTCTTACTGGTCTTTTTTCAGTTCTAGTCAGGCAATGTTGTGATCTTCAATTATATATTTCTTTTATTAAAAACATTTATCTTGGGGGGCAGGGGATATACCTCAGTGGTATAAGCTCCTGCCTGACAAGCACAAGGTCTTGAGTTCAATTCCCAGTACCACCAAAAAAAAAAATCAGAAAACAAAAAAACATTTATCTCAACTTTTTTTTTTTTTTTTGTGGTACCAGGAGTTGAACTTAGGACCTCGTGCTTGCCAGGCAGGCGCTGTGCCACTGAGCTAAATCCCTGGTACAATTTGTTTCTTTTTTACACATCTACAGTTCCCTTTTGAAATTACTTTTTTAAAATAATTCTTTTGAAAATACCAGAATAATGTGTAGAATTTGCTTTTATATGTAGTATACTTCAAGAACATATTTTTATTTTAACTAACTTCTTAATATTAATCTTGATAATTTAATGTTTCCAACAAATATGCAAATCACGTGTTTTCAGTACTTTTTGGAGTGTAAGAAGAAATCCGTACTGGAGACTCAAGGATCTCTCACCAATTCAGAACTCAGAAAGTACCTTAGATTCTCTCCGAGGGCTGTAGAGGGCGTCATTGGTCTGTGTTTAGCAGGTAACTTCTCTCAAGGCTGATCCGAGGAATCACAGCAACTAAAGTGCTTTGCAAATCACTGACTCATTGCTAAACGATCGTGAAATGACGGTGCTAGGTAGCTGTGTACATACTTATGTCCATAGCCTGTCATGAATGTGTCTCTGTAGATTGCTTCTGCCTCAGAAGTCTTTTTGCTAGGATGTACTCCCATGGAACGGTGCAGTGGAAAAGTGAACAACCACAACTATCCAGAGTGGCTTCAGAGAAAACATTGTTAGACTACCACTTGTGTGCTTCTGTTCCCGACTGAGAAACCTGGAAATGATATGCAGAGAATGAAAATCCCCTTTGTCCTTGGAAAGCTTTGGGAGCGCTGCCTAGCCCTGGTTCTGTGTAGCAGTAAAGGCTTAAAGGGGCTGATTGAGACTGAGGAGTCTTTGAAACATAGGGTTATTATGGTTCCTTTTCCTCCTACTCACCTTTCCTCCTTGTTATTTTTAGTGTCAGTTCGTGTGTGGAGGTACTTGGTTGAAGAGGTATGGGGTAGATGGGGATTAAGTATGCTTGCATTCTAAGGTCCCTGGGAATTCCATGGAAATGACGTTGCACAGAAATGACCTGCGTGTACAGTATTCTAGTCACTAGCCAAAGACAGTAATGTAAAGGTGCATAATATTTAAGATACTTTAAGGTACTTCTCTCATAGTAACCTCTTGGAATATCCGTGATTAAGTAATACAGGAAATTAGGCCTCTGTATGTGTCACTTCGTCACATGCTACTCACATTCTAATTTTAAGACTACTAGAAATTTCATATTATTAATAGTTGCTCTATACACTCAGACACTGCGTGTGCATGTGATATATTCTGTGAGTGAGACATGAGATGAGAAAAGAATGTTAGTCTGAGAAAAGAATGTTAGTCTGTTTATTCCACAGAGGTACCGCATCATAAAGATTCCAGTGTCTTATGTACCAGGTCTAACATCTTAGCTCTCATTGCTTATGGAATACATGATGTCTATGCTGTGATTTCTGTGATTCTCTGTAAACTACTCATGTTATTCTAGGTTCTTTATAGTAAATATTTCCTGAAATTGAGATAATCAGGTTTTAAAAGAAGGAGTCTTAAAGATAAAGTGAGCCTCAGACTTTACTCAGGATTCCTGAATTAATGTTGCAGTTTCACTTAAGAAAATTGGATGATATTGCACAATTTGTATTATCTCTGAGTATCCACTTCTTCAACCATAGGAATAACAGCATTATATGTTTCACTTGGTTTCTTTTGGTATCAGATTAATAATAAGAGGTACAATATTGTGAAAGTGTTTGGAAAAATTTTGTGCCTGTCACAGGCCCGTAGGAATCATTTTGCTGTAATGTTCTATACAGTAGTAGAGCAACTTTCCCTTTACTTATTTTTTTCCTGGTCTCATAATTCTTTAGCGTGAGGACTAGTCTGATTCTTTTCATAGGTAAGTCTCAGCAAGTTTTTATTTATCCCTGCCATGCAAAGCCCTGGGTTAGGCACTTTGTATAGGGATAACGATGATTGTCCCTGTCCTCAGGGAGTTTCCAAAGAAAAGTTAAGGTGTCACACTTTATAAAGCAGTAGTTAGTGAATCAGGCACTAATACATCCTGTACTGCTGAGCTGTGACTAAATGAATTCTGAAGTACTATTCTGATCTGTTTTTGAATTGGATATTGTGGCAAAGTCTTAGTTTAGTCGGTCTGTTGGGTGCCTATTTGTGAGTTTACACTAAAGAGCAGATGGCCAGGATTAGAAATCAGGAGGGCTGGATGTTAGTCCTTGATGCTGATTCCTGACTAGGGCCAAGGGAGGCAGTGTCTTCTGTTTCAGTAATCTCTATCTGTATAACAAGCAGCCCCAAACTTCTCACAATACTGTGGGTCAGAATATCCAGCTGAGTAGTTTTTGTGCTTTGCCCATACACTGCCTGGGGTCACTTACTTGGCTGCATTCAGTTACCAATTAGAGTTACAGAGCGCAGAACCACCTCACTCGTCCACACGTTCAGCTTTGCTCCGTGACACTGCTCTCTCTCCACAGGGTGTTCAGGCACCGACCGTCTAGTCCAGTAGTGTAGCTTGAGTTCCCTTACAAGATGGCACTGACTTCTCCTGAGAGCATGGAGGTGCCAGCTGGCTTCTGAAGGGCTCCCTTGGGACCAGGCACACTGCACTTTCTATGGTATTCTAGGGTTGAACAATCAGAAGGCCAAGAAGAGAAGAGATGGACTCCATCTCCTGATGGGAGATGCAGTGTGCATATACAGAGGCACAAAGGGATCATCCCTGGCCCTCTTGGAAGACAGTTTTCTTATCCATTAAATGAGATGATGAATTAAGGAGTGTCTGTAGGCCTAAATTTTAGTTCTACATTTCCATGTATATCAGTTAGGGTTAGGTAGAGGAACACATTTAATATAAACAACATCTGTGGTCCTATAAGAGCCAGAGAATCCAGTCCAAGGTGGAAGGCCTGGAGCTCACTGCATTGGAAAGCAGAGGGTCTGTGTTGGAAGGCCGAGGAGTGTGAAAGCCTGAAGGAACTGAGGAATGCTCGTCTGAAGGAAGTGGCAGAGACTGGAGTGCCTTTGAAGAAGAAAAGGAAGGACTTCCTTCTTCTCTTCCTTTTCAATTCCATGTAGGCTAAAGCTTATTGCTTGGTGCCACCCACATCCAGAGCAGGTCTTCCCTCCTCAGTTCTACCCACATCTGTTATCCACAGAGCTTTACTAATTGGCCAAGTGATTTTTTTAAAGCCAAGTTGGTGTATTATAATCAACGACACATCATATTATTACAAATTTTTATCTGAGGCATTTTTATGCATGATATAGTGGAAAGAATTGGACTTCAGAGGCAGAAAGACCTGAGTTTGAATTGGCTCTAAATACTGACCTGCACCTTGGAAGCGACTTGAATCTTTTATCTATCTGTTAAAAAATACCAGGTTGATAGTCATTCATTCCTAGGATAATCATTCCTCTTAGCACATAGGTAGCACTTAGAAAATGTCAGCACTTTCCCCCTTCTCTTGTTTATTACTTGAAAGACCCTTTTAAAGACAATAGCAGTTACAGACATGAATTGAGGGTTTTTGCTTGGCTGTTTAATATAAAATTATTCCTGTGTTTAATCATGTTTTATAGGTGATAAATTTTTCTCTGAGACCAAGAGATTAAGCAAGACAAATTTGTTTTTCTGTTTTGGTGTTAGACATTATGCTCAGAACATTGTTGCTTTTAAGAAAGCAGCTTAAAATAATTTAAGTAGTTTGGAAGTGCATTTCGGTCTGTAGACTGGTGAGTTACGTAGCTTTTAAGGTACTTTCACCTAGAGCAGTGGTGAAACCACTAGCACATGTGCAGCAGGCTCTTTGTATCACTGGAAGCTCTTGTGAAGCGGCCAGCATTCAGTCCAGCTATTTTAGGCAGTAGCGCTCAGCCTGTGGGCCAGGCCTGATAAGTGAGCTGGGCCCATGCACTTCCACTCCCACCTATGATGGTTGAACCCCTTCTGTCAGGAAGCTCAGCACCTAAGGGGAGTAGCAGAAAAGAAAGAACAGTCTCTAAAGCCTGATTCTCAGTGGGTGTTCCCTGAATCCATGGCATCAGCACCTCGTATGCTAATTGCAGTATTTTATCATCTGTTATTGTGAGGGTTAAATGAAATGATGTATAAAGTATTTAGCACAGTGCCAGGTAACCAGTTTAATAAACAGTAGACATTATCAATAATACTCATCATCAATAATAAATAGTAATCATTCTGATTGACATTTTTCTGCCAGAGTATTTCATGAAGCAGTTTAGTTCTCATTTCTTTTTTAAAATCTTGGGGTTGGTCTGCTGGTCCGGCTGCATTGCAAGTTGTCAAGTAAAAGAGGACTTGTTAAGCACTTCCTCAAAGGTTCATGATTGTGAAGGAGGTATTCTTTAATGTGAAGTGATGGTAGACCCTATCACACAGTCGTGCAGATAGATGCAAAGCCTGCATGTTTGTGGGACTCATTGTTGCCGTTTAATGACTCCTCAGACAGTATCTGAACCCTGGAGTTTTACTTTGAAGAGTGATTATCTCTCTAGATACAGATTTTTTCCTTATTTCAGATCCCAATTTCCTTTGTTTTAGTCTTTACGTAGAGTTTTTTTCTTTGTCTCTTTCTTTTCATGTGTGGTCAAATAAGGATCATGGTTAACCCCAAAAGGAAGGCCAGCTGGGCTGTGGGGGCCTGGGCCTTGTTGCCAGGGCCGCCCGGAACCTCTCCACCTCCAGTGGCTGCGTCATTCATTTCCTCTTTAAACCAAACTCAAAGTAAAAAGCAGCTTATTCCATCTTGGGGCCTGCTGACTCATGGGCTGTGGGGGTGCTGTCTGGGAGGACTCTGTTCAGTTGCTGAGCACTGGCCATAACTTACCTTGGCCCCTTGCTTGCACCTGTGTCTGGGACTGCACAGTCCTCTAGGGAGCTCTCTGCGTTGAGGCATTGGCCGCTGAACACGACTCCACATGCCCAAGCTTCTGGCCATGGGCTGGAGTAGGGTTTCACCTGTCTGTCTCCCATCACCTTCGATGAGCTCATGTGAAACTGCTTGTTGCGCAGGGAACTGTGTTCTGAGAGCCAGCTCAGGGGGTTTTGGCAGTTCCTGGGAAGCACTGTGTTCCATGGAGGGCCCCAGGAGATGCTGTCCCTATTGCAGGCCGGGTAGCTCAGCTGCCATCAGTTTGGTGTACTGAGGTCCTGCAGGAGTGTAACTACAGGAATGCAACTGGATAAGAGGCTCTCTGCTCCTCTCTGCGCATTGTAGGGCACAGCGGCTCCTCCTCCCAAGTGACAGCCTGTAAGAGTACTGTGCTTTCTGCCCCAGTGGCAGGCTTCTGGGAATGAATTTGGGCAGGTGTTGACTTTTGCTCCATCAACAATGGAACAGGTACAGAATTACTTAGCACATGTTTGCCTGCCTGTGCTCAGGGCATGGTAGTTGTCAGAAAAGGGGGCATGGATGTCTCTGGAAGTTATACAGTAATACTTGACAGCTTAGAGACTTATCGCAGTTTCTTCTTGGCAATCCTGTGGACAAGCTTTCTTTAAAGTTCATAGAGATACCTCAAGAGCATCTAAAAGGTAGTTAAATAATCTAACACCAGAAGGTTCTCTTGGTTACTAGGGAAGAAGATGAGCATAATGACTGCTTTACTTACATTTCGCAGTTTACTTTATTATTGGAGTGAATGTTGAGGCATTTTAAGGGTGTCCACATCCCTCAGTGTACATATATTATGGCAGTTACACTAAAATACTGCAGGAATCAAGAAAGTATCAAAGAGGATGTCATTCCCCTGAAATTTCTAAATGCCTCTTTGGTGGATGACACGGTGAGTCGTGGGGACCTAACCTTTAGCAAGAATTCTTTAGCAAGAGTCTGGTCTTAAATCTTCATTTGAAGCACTGAACATATTCCATAAGGTCCCTTAGTCAGCCATGAGTCTGCATTTTTGCTTTTGACTCAGCATTGCGTATGTACTTCCTCCAGTGTGCAAAACAACAGAAAATGCTTGTAGCTTTAGGATTTTTTTACTGTCCTCAAGTAGTGCTGCTAGCCACTGTGCGCAGTCTTCTAGCAGCTGATTGCTGAAATGCGTACTTTTGAAAGGCTGCCCCATGGAATCAGATGTCGCTGTATCAGTTCCAAAGCCTTTTGCATGCCTGTTTCACTTCCCACAATGACTGATTCTCCATCTGCCATGACAGTGCATTCCTGAGCTGCTGCCCCTCACTGGGTTGGTGACTGGACTGTCTATTTTTAGTCCGAGTTCCAGTTCAAATTATCCAGAGAAGAGTGTCTCCTGTAAAATTTATATGAATTAGCTTGCACTGCAGAGATTATGGAAGGGTAGGGGTGTGTGTGTGAGTGTGTGTACATTTTAAAGAAAACTATGGAAAAATTTGGAACTATGAAAGGGGAGCAATATAATGAACACTGATGTTCTTGTCACCCATTTTCAACACCATGGACCATTTTAAGGTAAATAATAGTCATTAAGCTGAATGCAGGTTAAAAAATGCAAATGGTAACACAACACTAACACTCACGTGCTTAAACTGGATTTTCTGGATTTCAACACTGTCAGTGATTCTCTCCAAAACCAAGAGTCTTGTCCTTGCTTCAGCCCTCAGTTTAAATCCTAAAAAATATTATTATAAGTGTAATAAGCAATCTTACTGTAGCATTAATGTGCATTTTTCCATGACAAGAGCAGGTGCTGGCCACTAAGTTTGGATGTTTTAGGTTGTTAAGATACCAGTGTTGTTTAGATTTCTAACTTTATTGTGCAGAGAAGTCTTATTGTGATATTTCATAACAGTCAGACAGACTGGACCACTTCTTCTGCTTGTGCAGTCTTGATTCTTTCTCTCTAGTATGGGAACCATGTATATCAATATTTGTGGGGTTCTACTGTCTTTCGGATTGTGCTAGAGCACCTGTGTCAGACTTTGCTCCTTGTTGGGAACAGGTGGGCTGGACTAGATCTGGACGTCTCCCCTGCTAACTCTGCCTTCCAGGTAGCCGTTTCCCGTGCTTCATGGAAGGAAAGAAAAGCACGGTGGCAAAATGGGCAGAGGGGACTTTCAGTGCCCTAAAACTAGATTATGGTAACAGTTGTACAGCTTTATAAAATTTACTAAAACTCATCAAACTTAGAATCTTAAAATGGGTGAATTTAATAATATGCAAGTTTACCCAATACAACTGTTTGTATGCATTTATTTATTTATTTATTTATTTTTACTGCACGGGGAATCAAACCCAGTGCCTCATGCATGTAATATGCCACTGAGCAACCCAAAGTTGTTTTTTTAAAAATCATATTTGTTCAGAAGACTAGGACTAGAAGGTTCTGTTTGACCCAGCTGTTCCCCTTCTTGATATCTTCCTGAAAGAATTAAAAGCATCATAACCACAGTGATATATGCACACCCATGTTTATAGCAGCACAGTTAGTAATAGCCAACTCTTGGACATAGCCCAAAAGCCCATCAACTGGTGAATAAATAAAGAAGATGTGGGTTTTTTCTCCAATGGAGTGCTACTCTACCATAAAGAAGGATAAGCCCAGAATATTTCTAGGTAAATGAATGCACCTTGACACCACACTCTTAAGTGAAATCAATTGGACATACCTGAGTAAGTACTGCATTGTTCCTCTGGTGTGAGAAACCAAAAGTGTAAATAAGAACCAAAATGTAAAACAGGTATTATGAAATAGGAAGGAAATGTTGAAATGGGGAGGGGAACAAGGTGGGGGGGGCGGGGGAAGGAAAGAAGGGAAAAGAAAAAAACGAGAAAAGAAGGAAAAATGGAAACAAAGGGGATATAGCTCAGTGGCACTGAGCCTGCCTGGCAAGTGTGAGATCTTGAGTTCGATTCCTGGTACCAAAAAAAAAAATGGAAGCAAAGCTTTTGTAAAGGAGAGGGGAGGGGTCTAAAGAGAGGGGAGGGGAAGAGGAAAACCAAGCTATAAGCATGTAAAAGTACACATTCTCTATGATGAATGTGATCATTATGTGTATCTAAAATGTACCAATAAAATCTGATTGAAAAAAAGAAAAAAAAATAGAAAGCATATTTGTTGAGTTACTTTTGTCTAAATTATGGTGATTACTCAATCCATTCACTCATCATGTTTGTTGCTTTATTGCTGGGGATAAGAAAGAAAGGAGATACTTTTATAATTAGTATAGGATGAGTTAATTTTTTTTCTCTTTAGCTTTACTTGCAAACAGAATCATATCGAAGACTGTTGCATGGTACTGACTGATTGATATGTAAATAAAAAAGTCCCACTTGAGCCTTTCAAAAATGCCAATTAGATTTTAATTATTTCCTGACTGTAAAAGAAACCAGAAGCAAAAAGGAAAACATTTTAAAATAATGCTTTCCAAGAAGGCAGTATGTGATGAGGGTTAGGGTGTGCAAGCCCAAAGTAGGGCACACTGGCATTTGTGAGAGTAGCAGAAGTGGTCAGGTCACCCTTACCTTCCCCCACCCTAGGAGCAGCTCATAAGCTAGGAAGGAGTTTCTGACCTCTGCATAAAGTAGGTCATAAGACCCTTATTCCAGATGTGCCCTTCCTATACCCAAAGGAAAGAAATATCCTTATCTCTGAAGACAAAGGGTCACAAAGAAAAACCTGAACAAATACACCTTGCTGTGTTTCCTCCAGTTTATTACCATTAGGTCATACTTCTGTGACTAGTCATGCATCTGTAAGATTTTCCACTTTTACTTCAAAGCAAGCAAAGAGCATGCATAGTTTACATGTTTGTTCAGGTCTTCATTTCCTTATGAATGCTGCCATACCACGTGAAACTTGTGTTAAATACATTTGTGCGCTTTTGTGTTGTTTATCTCTTCGAAGAATTTCACCTTGCCTATGATGAGAGGGTCTTTGATTTATTCAGACAGTAAAATAAAGTCTGGTAGAGTCAAACCTTGGTCATAAGTTTATAAAGGCAGTGTTGCTGAAGGAATTTTAAAATAGCCACCCCTACTTTAGCTAGAAGCATCGTTCGCTTATTTAAGAAGTACTTCCTGGGGATTTGGTGCTCTGGTGATCAGTTAGTGGTATGCAGAAAGACATAGCAGACTTCCGATCTGTCAGCCTTACAGTAAACAAATGGATACAGACCTACTGTGCTTGTCACTTCCTGAGCTACTGTGGCAGGCACCAAAACTGTAAGTCCTTTGGGAGAAGGCCTTTGAGGAATTCTTTTTTATATCTGCAGTCTTTTTGAACATTACCAGCACTCCATAGATATTTAATGCCAAAGTGAGTGAAAGGATAGGTAAGGTGCCCTTGTCTTCAAAAAAAGTATATCTTAGTTTGGCTACTACTGTAGTTTGTCCCATCAAAGCTCTTGTGGAGGCTTGGTCCTGCATGATGCAATGTTGGGAAGTGAGGCTTTGTGGGAGGTAGCTGATTGGATAGAGGCCGTCTGGCAGGAGGAGTTCTTGCTATATGAGACTGGATTAGTTACTGTGAGAGTGGGCTGTTGTAAAGTGAGGCTCCCCCTCGTGGTTTGGTCTTTTGTTGCTTTCTGCCGTGAGATGATGCAAAACGAGGTCCTCAAGAGAGATTCTTACACTGTGCTTTTGGACTTTAACCTCCAGAACTGAGTCAAAACAAAATTCTTTTAAGTTCTCTAGCTTCAGACATTCTCTTATAGCATGAGAAAACAGATTAAGACAGACTTAAAAGCCATACCCGTATGAAAATGATATTGATATTCCCGGGTATTCCTGTTGTCCACATAGTGCCTAAAGAAGAGGGTGATGGTGGCTTGAGCTGTTGATAAAAGACTATAAATTCAGTAGTACCTAAGTGAGTGTACCTGAATTCCCGACTAAGAGCAGAGGTGATGCATGCATGGACTGCGTGGCGGAAATGGAGATGGCACTGGGCACAGTGGTGCACACCTTCGAGGCCAGCCCAGGCAGCTTCGAACATTGAGGGGCCCTTGCTTTGTGGATTTTTCTGACTTTAATCACAGAGCATTCTTTCTGGTGACTGGCCGTGTTACCATTTTACTTCTTCCTTTGTCCTTTTTCCAGAGCACACCTGGGTTTCAGCACCCCAGTACTAAGAAACAAGAGAAACAAAGACGGCTTATATGGGGACCTTGAAGAGGGGGAACTAAGGCCCAGGTGAAAAGTGGGGAAAAGGGCTGACTGGAAAAAGTGGCTGCAGATTATCCAGGGACTTTATTATAGGCCCAAAGAAGAGACTGAGCTCTCATACACTAGGAGATCGGTGGGTTCTTGAATGAAGAAGAGATTAAATTAAAATTTACAGTCTCACTGTTGAAGTCACTGGTTGACAAGGTGGATAGAAAGGCTAGCTTTTGCATCTCTTATGTACATGATGCTTATATATTTAAGGGGTTAGAATATGCGGTCGTTGCATTTGCTTGTTTTCTGGAACCTTGAACAAAATAATCATCAACTGAACCTTCCTTTCTTCCCTCCCTCACTTTCTTCTTTCCAAATAAGAGTAGTGTTTTATTTGAAGCATTTAGGCCGGAACTCACTGAGGGTGGCTTGCATGCATTAGAATCCAGAGGGAAGAAACTGCACCCAGGATGGTTAGACTGTTAGAGGTGCTGATGAAGTGGTGCTGGAGTTGGGAGGAGAAGGCCCTCTTTTCTGCAGACTCAAGGACTAAAAGCAATGTGGCCTATGTACCAGGCACTTTCCTATTTTCCTTTGGTTTCTACATACAGAGGAGAAGGAGGCTTAGTTATTTAAGTTACAGGTTTGAATGAATTTGGTAATAGGGAATATATAGATAGGAACAGCCATCAGTAGGTCCGTATTGATGGTAAATAAAATCCTCAGCATTGTTTGTGTCTTCCCTGGCATAAATGATAAGGTAAAGTGTATTGCCAGGACAGCTCAACGTCCCTGTTTATAAAAAATATCAGTCTAATGTAACTAATAACCCTTAAATACTACTTGAAATCACATTAGTTATATTAAACTTTGAACCCCAGTATTTCTTAGAACATTTAAAAATTGTCCCTTTTAAAAGATTGGAACAAAGCAATACCTCAGTCTCTGCGTATAAATTTGCTTGCTTTCTTTCCACTAGTCAAAAAAAGGTAGCGTTGATTGTCAGTTTGCTTAATCACCTGATTGTGATCCACTTCGGTACTTTAGTGCTTAGTGTCTTGCTTGGTAAATAAACAAATGTTTGGGTTAGGGTAGCTCACGTGCCCTCCTAGCTTTAGATGTCTCTGTCTTTTGTAGAAAAATGATTGCTTAAGCAGTAGCTCCTGAAGAGTTAAAAACAACAAAACCAGCATCTAGTCTAATCCTGGTTAGCTCTAATTTATTAACTTTTTGGAACTGTAATAACTTGTTAGATCTTGTACCGTAAAACATTATTCCTAATTTTCCAAGACCAGCTGTAGATCAGGGTTCTAAAGGCCTTAATGGAAAAGGGTGGGTAATGTGTTTGTCAAGAGGCCACTTAGAGAAATCAGTTCCATGTAATTTTTAATACAGTTCTTTGGATAGACTTTTTATGACTCAGTATTACAGATGTCATTAATTTATCATGGAAAATAGTGAGACAATATGACAATTATCTTCAGACTCAAGTATACTCAGGCAGCAGGGCGAGTGATGATTGAGTAGTTTGAACAGAGGCTGCTACAAAATGCCACCAAGCTGGAGCACTGATGCCACAGCCAAGCTGTTAACCTCACTGCCTCTGAACATGCTTGATGGGCCAACCAGGGAGCGGAAGGAAACTGAGGCCTGCTGGAAATCAGAGGCCTCAAGAACCCTTCCCACCAAAAGAAACTACACAAGTGCTCACTCTTCTAGAGAGGCTAAAATGCATGAGGGCAGAGTGGGGCTGGTTTAATTTGTTCTTCCTCCACAGCCTTATTTTCACCTACTCACCTCCTTCAAATGCTAGACATGTTAGAGAGGAGGCCAAACCTACTGCAGTAATATCTCAAACCTTTTTATAAGGGAAGAAGTTAAAATACATTCGTGAACATTTGTAACCAGATGGAATAATGGCTTCCCTCTGCTGGTGGTTGAATTTTTCATTGTCTTTTGCAAGATTAAAACTTATGGATAGAAGTTATGTCTGACTGGTTAAGTAGGGCCTGTCTTCTCTGGACCCCAGAATGTCCTGTCCCAGCAACAGAGAAATCTATGAATGAGAAAGGCCAATAGCATGAATTGGGAGACGGTTCCCCTCAGGGATGGAGCAAAGTTCTACTCATAGTCTGTGTTCTAGATTGAATTGTGTTCTCCAAAAAATGGATGGTGACATTCTAACCCTTGATACCTCAGAATGTGACCTTATTTGGAAGTAGAATCTGAAAAGTGGTGAAGTCATTAATCCAGTATAACTGACATAGTGATGAAAAGGGGAAATTGGGGCACAGAGACAGACACTGCAGAGGGAAAATGACGTGAAGACACAGGGAGGATGCCGTCCACAAGCCAAGGAACACCTGAGTCTCCAGAAGCCAGGAACTCACACATGGAGCAGACTTTCCTCACCGCCCTCAGCGGAAGCCAGTCCTGCCTACGCCTTCTTCCCAGTCTTCTTGCCTCCATATTGGAGACAGGGAATTTCTCCTGGGTTATGCCATCCAATTTATGGTGCCTCATTCCAATAGCCTCAGG